TGCAAAAAAAAAAAAAAAAGGTGGGGAAACCGAAGGCATCAAGACAAGAGCAAGAAACAAAGAAATGGAAAAAACAAAGAGCAAGACGAACCCTTTTGTGATTAAGGTAAAAATATATTAGAAACGTCAAATCTTATCCAAAGTTCCCTATGATGCCAACAAATGGCAAACTTATAGCCTCAAGAGCAGCATCACTTCGATTGTCACGTGACAACTCAAGTTTATTGTTAGCAGATATTATCCGTTTTGGCCCGTTATATATTGTCATCAGTCTCACGATTTTAAAACACATTTACTAGAGAGAGGTTTCTATACTCTTGTAAGAAATGCCTCGTTCCACTCTTTAACCGATATGGGATCTCACAATAGGACTTTGAGGGTCCAAACCAAGGACAAGAAAATGAGTTACGAGTAATGTTAACCAATGTGGAGTTAACCATCTGAGTGTTACCATACATATTTTTCTTTAAGTCTTCTCTCTTTTATTTTTCGTGTTCTTTAACAATTATAGAAATGGAACGGAGCCATTAATCTTTTAAATCATTTTATGCCGGTTGAACGGCTCGAATCGACGGATTGAGTATACAAATCTAAGTTTAACTCCTCAATGCCTAGAAAAAGGTGTTTTTGTATAGAGACAAAAGTGTTTGTGGAGATAAAATGGTGTCTCTATGTTTGGACATATGAATGACGTCTTAGAATTAATATCTTTTTTTGTGCTTTGCTTTTTCCCAACATGTCACTAAATGAAAATTATTTAGGTACGGATTGATAATACCTCACAATGCTAGCGGTAGGCTCAAGGGTGTAAAACCTCGGTGGGCTCAAGGTTGTGGAAACCTCTCCCTAACACCCAAGTGCGAGGCTGACAGCAGTATGAGCCAAAGCTAGCCGTGGGTTCAAGGGTGTGGAAATCTCATAAAAAATTACGGTATTTTAGGCAGGCCCCAAAAAGCTTCATATCATGCTCATAATTATTCACTAAATTAGCCGATGTGGGACTCACTCCACCCTCAACCATATAACTTCTCATTTCTATTTAAAAAGAAAAAAAAAAACTTTAAAAAATTATAAAAATCGAAAAAAAAAAAAAAAGGAATTAAATTCGTCGAATATTACAGAAACTAGAAATTGTTGAACTACAACCGTAATCGAACGATCTAACAATAAAAACTTTTTAAAATTAATTCAAGAATTTTTTAAAACATTATCCTAAAAATTTCATATATATATACTGACGGTAAAAATAATTTTTAAGTCGATAATACATGGATCAAAACGGTAAAACAACACGTGATTCGATGCGAAATAATATAAGAGAGTAAAAATGCTTTTACACACTTTGGAAATATGCTTTGTTATGGGGATTGCTTATATAAAGGAGAAATTTGAAAGGAAGAAAAGTGTGAAACATATGATGAAAGTGGTCGATGGGATGTGGCTCATTTGTGGCCATAACTCATACCTACTCCCTTTCAGATATTGAACAACATGATAAACACTCATTCAAATAAAATATTCATATAAATTTATCGAACTAATATGAAAGAACGGTTGTGTACTAGCTCAAGTTCATCGTTAGTAGATATTGTCCGTTTTGGCTTGTTACGTATTATCGTTAGCCTGACGGTTTTAAAACGCGTCTACTAGGGAGAAGTTTCCATATCATTCAAGTTCATTGTTAGTAGATATTGTCCGTTTTGGCCCGTTACGTATTGTCATTAGCCTCGCGGTTTTAAAACGCGTCTATTAGGGAGAAGTTTCCACATCATGCTTCGTTCTCATCTCTAACTGATGTTGGATCTCACAATTCACCCTCTCCCTAGGGGTCCTGCGTCCTTGCTGGCACAATGCCTAGTGTCTAGCTCTGATACTATTTGTAACAGTCTAAGCTCACTGCTAGCAGATATTGTCTTCCTTAGGCTTTCCCTTCTGGGTTTTCTCTCAAGATTTTAAAAAGTTTCCTCATCATGCTTCGTTCTCATCTCTATCTAACGTGGGATCTCACAATCTACCCTCTCCCTAGGGGTCCTGCGTCCTTGCTGGCACAGTACCCGGTGTCTAGCTCTGATACTATTTGTAACAGTCTAAGCCCACTGCTAGCAGATATTGTCTTCTTTGGGCTTTCCCTTCTGGGTTTTCTCTCAAGATTTTAAAACGAGTCTATTAGAGACAGATTTTTACACCCTTATAATAAACCCTCTCTAGGGGGATCGCACATGTTGTTTGTTCAATATGATGACCCACGAGCTTAAATTTATGCTCACTATGTACAAATCTTGGCAATGACTACGTCCTACATGTCTTGACGAAGGCGACGAATCTTCTGCCAACATCTAGGTTGGCTTTGTGGTGGAACAAAGACGAGCATGAATGAGAGAGAAAAAAAATGCGAGGGACAAAAACCCTTGTACAACTCTATCGTTAAACATGGACCCTAAACTTTCACTAATCACTAAGATAACAATTTAATATTTATCCCTCCGACATTATGTTTGATACAATTTAGTTCTAAATCTTTAGTAAATAACAACTTAGTCCTTTTATTTTACAATAATCTCATCAAAGTGACATTTTTTTTCCTTGTCTCGTCGAAAACCCCTTTGTTTCTTGGGTCTGGAACATGGAATCTCTGAGCGAGTCTTTAGGTTATGATAATACACATATTTTGTGCAGAAACCCATTTAGTTTAAAATTAACAATAAACTCGGGCGGACGGTTTACTAACTCAATCTATAAAGTTCTTATTTATTAAAAACTTACCCTTTCTTTAACTATCTTAAAACAGTCCGAATAAGAAATAGAAAACTAAGGCATTATCAAACTCTACCATAACTATTCTATAGCCTCGTATTAGAACATAGCTACATTTGAACTAAAATCAGGTCTAAGGTTCTACATCTTTTTCGTTTCTCATCGAGACGTGCATCACTTTTAATAATAGATCTGAATCACTTTCATACATACCGACTTTATCGCTGTTATGCACGTAGAATTATCTAAAATGTTTATAACTTTATGCTGCATTTGGATCTTTCGAGAGTTAGAACTCATATAAGAATTACTAAATTGGGTACGAAAAGAGTCCACTCGTGCGAAATTTATAGGGTTAAATGTCGTAAATAATATTTTTATTAATAAATGTTTATTTTATTTATAAATAATAATATTATTTTCTTAAAATTATTAATGTAATCTTGAACGGTATGGCACGGTTAGGGTTGGTAGGAGTGAGTAGGTGTGGAACACACTGGTTATAAAGCACCACTGGTGCCTTCCACTTCACCTCATCCACTGATCATTTTTCAAGCTCAGAGATATGCCGGCCGAGACCCAACCCCCTTGCCATGTCTTCATGGTCACCTTCCCCGGCCAAGGCCACATCAACCCCACGCTCCGCCTCGGCAAAAAACTCGCTTCCAAAGGCCTTCACATCACCATCTCCACCACCCTCGACTTCGGCGACAGCCTCAGAAACGCCGGAAGCATCGCCGACCACCGTTACCCCTTTGGCGCCGGTTTCATCGACTTCCATTTTTGGAACGACGGCTGGGAGAACGATGACCTCCGACGCAGAGACTTGGACCTTTATCTGCCGCAGCTCGAGCTCACCGGCAAGGCGGCGCTGTCGCAAACGCTCAAAGACCGTGCCGCTGAGAATCGGCCGGTTTCTTGTCTCATAGGAAACCCATTTGTTCCGTGGGTTTGCGATGTGGCTAATGAGTTTGGAATCCCCTGTTCTGTTCTCTGGGTTCAATCTTGCTCTGTTTTCTCCATTTATTATCATTTTTCTCGTAAAACCCTGAATTTCCCTTCTGAATCTGATCCATTCTGTGATGTTGAAATACCCTCTCTGCCTCTGTTGAAACACGATGAAATCCCAAGCTTCTTGCACCCATATGGCGAGTATAAGGCCATTGGTCGGTCCATTTTGCAGCAATTTCGAAACGTCTCCGTCCCATTTTGTATTTTGATGGATACTTTCGAGGAACTTGAAAAAGACGTCATCGATCATATCTCGACGATATGCTCTGTTATTCCGATAGGTCCTCTGTTTCAGACGCTAAAACTCTCCGACGAAAAAGGGTCTCTCTCCGGCGATTTCCTGAAGGCGGACGACTGCTTCGAGTGGCTTGATTCAAAGCCAGAGAAATCGGTTGTTTATATCTCGTTTGGAAGCATTGTTCATTTGAGCCAAACCCAAGTCGAGGAAATGGCTCACGCGCTCTGTAATTCTGGGTTTTCATTCTTGTGGGTCATGAAGCCATTGCCGAAGGACATGGCGGATTGTTTGGGGCTGAAATCGCATGTTCTTCCAGATGGGTTTTTGGAGAAAGCAGGGGAGAGAGCTAAGATTGTGAAATGGAGTCCACAGCAGAGGGTTCTGTGTCATCCTTCCATTGCTTGTTTTGTTACTCACTGTGGATGGAACTCGTCGGTGGAAGCTCTGAGCTCCGGCGTGCCTATGGTGGTGCTGCCGCAGTGGGGAGATCAGGTGACTAACGCTAAGTTCTTGGTGGAACAGCTTGGGGTTGGGCTCCGGCTGACACGTGGCGCGATGGAGAAGAGATTGGTTCTGAGAGATGAGTTTGAGAAGTGTTTAAGGGACGCCATTGTTGGGCCTAAGGCGGAGGAGCTTCGGGAAAACGCCTTGAAGTGGAAGGCGGCGGCGGAGAAGGCGGCGGCGGAGGGCGGCTCCTCGGAGACTCGTATCGATGAGCTCGTCGGCGAGATCAGGAAGCGATCAGGTAACGTGATCAAGCCCCAGGCAAGCCTGTGCGTTCGTAGTGACAATTAGATTTTATGTTATTTTAATATGCCATTTTTTGGCACACAATAAATTAGTTTATTAAAAAAAAAATTAATTATCGCAAAACTCTTTTTTAGATAATTTATTCCAATTTTGTTTTTTAGGTGAAGGTTATCTCTAAAATATTTATTTATTTATTATTATTATTATTTTGCATATTTGAGTAAATAAGTTTTTGAATTTTGAAAGCTTTTTAAATTTTTTTTTATTGTGTAAACAAATATTTAAATTATTAATTTTGTATGTATTAACTTAAATGGAAAGTTTAATGTTATATTAAATATAAAATTTGATTTTATGTAGAATAAATTTAATTATTTTATATTTTTAAAAATCAAATCACCATTAATTTTATTAGCTTTGATAAAATAAAAAAATAAAAAAGACTAAGAATTAAAATCTTTAATTCTTTTTATAATTTAAAATTTTATTAGACATAATAATAAATATTAAAAAAATATAGGATCATTAAATATAACATAAAATATCATAGGCTAAATACTTTTAATATTATAAATATAGAGAAATTATTTGATAATATTTGTATTCTTTTTTGTTGTTTTATTTTCAATTTTTTTAAAGAAATATGATTCTAAAATTCATATTTATATTTGTTAAAATATTTATTGCAATTTGAGATTCATTTTAGCTTCTACCCTTTTAAATATTTAAAATTTAGAATTTATATTTATTTAAGATAAAAATTAATATTCTTATTTATTTCAAATTAATAAAACATATATTTTATTTTAGATAAAAATTTAGAATTTTTATTTGTTTCAATAAATTATTTATTAATAATTTGTAATTATTTTTACACTGGTGAAGTAAATAAGAATATTAATTTTTTTGTTTCTTATATTTCAACTATTTTTTATTATATAATAAAAGTATCAATTTATTCATAAAATTAATGTGATTTTATAATATTAACGACTCATAGATATAGCAACGGATGTATCAATATAAAAATGAATATTTTAATCCGTCATTTACAAAAGATGGAATCGAATAATCCTTGTTATTGTATCAAACTCTCTTATTTATAAATATATCGATAATGGATAAAACAATCTAAAGAACTTGGGAGAACGCGTTTTAATATGGACGAAGGCAATAAAGGATAATAGCTTCTTTTCGAGGTAGAGACCTACCACGAAAAGCTTGTCGACTCGATTTCAATATTTTTAAATAAATGGTTCAAGCCTAGAAATATTCATGGGACGAGGACAAAGAAGTCTTTTCCATTTCCATCCTTATCTTTTAAGCCACTCAGGATAATTTTTATTTTTTAAAAAATATTTATTTTAAAGAATCTTTTTAATTGACCATTTTTATTTTTTAATCTAATTTCTATAAAAAAAAAAATATTAACAAATTCAACTAAAAAACATAATATTACAGTACAATGTACGTGGTTGAAAAAATTAAATGCATATATTTTTTTTGTCGTAGTCCTCCGTCCCCGTTCTCTCCTTCATTCACAATTTAAATGAGCACGATGTAGTTCGTTTGTATTAAATATATGTGACCGAATAATAATGGTAAAAAATATGATGGAATATTTCTTTGTCGGAGGTTTAATTGGATAGACTTTTCTCTTAGCTCTAGGAATGAATTTATTACTACGAGCGTACCAGTTCTTTGTTTTCTTTTTCATTTTCTGCAACAATGTATTTTTCTAGTAATTTTAGGATCATGTCTAAAGATGGTAAAAAAAATTTAATGGTAAAATTACATAACATAATTTCTTTTTTAAATTAAAATATGTTTAGTATAATATATTATAAACTATTCGGTACAGCATAAAAGTCCATTTAGGACCCAAAATAAATCATTCTTAAACTATTAGTTTTCAAACGCCTTAATCTAACTCTTTAATAAGTTCATTATTTTTTTTTTCTTATGCTCAATAAATTATAAAAGAAATGTATAAAATTCTAAAAATAATGGGTATGAAAGTTGAAATTTATGAATTATATTAATAAAGTTATTCAGTTATTAATTTGTATATAAAACTTTATTTGGTTGAAATAAATGAAAATATTTGGACTGTTTCTGAACAGTGTTGGGCAGCGTGCATGAAAGGTGGCTGAGCCGAAGACAGGTTGACAAGACGAAAGGAGTTGTTGTGGGTGTGGCTATGGGCGGACGAGATGAACACAAATGGGTACCTCACTTCCTGACCCACGCACGGCATGATTCAAGAACTAACGTATCGTCCTTAGTTTTGCAGTTTTCAAACGCGTTTACTAGAGAGATGTTTCTTCACTCTTATATAAGAAATGTTTTGTTTTCCTTTCTAACCGATGTAGGATCTAACAATTTACCCCCCTTGAGGTCTAATGTTCTCACTCACACACTGCTTGTTGTCTAGCTCTGATACTATTTGCAACTTGCTGGTACACCGCCTGTTGACGGGGTCCAACATTCTCATTGGCACACCGCTTGTTGTCTAGCTCTGATACTATTTGTAACTTGCTGGTACACCGCCCGTTGACGAGGGTCCAGCGTTCTCATAACACACCGTTTGCTGTCTGACTCTAATACTATTTGTAACTTGCTGGCACATTGCTTGGTGTCTAGCTCTGATATTATTTGTAACTTGCTGGCACACCGCCCAGTGTCAACGCTCGATGTCTGACTCTAATACTATTTGTAACTTGATGAAACTTGCTGGCACACTGCTTGGTGTCTAGCTCTGATATTATTTGTAACTTGTTGGCACACTGCCCAGTGTAACTTGATGACATACCCCTGGTCCACTAATATTGTCTACTTTGACCTAGTCCCAGGGCATAAAGGGCATGATGACTTCACGTCATCCTCACCTTCCTTCGGCTTATCACTGGCAGTCTGCTCAGGGTTCCCACCTCAACGGTCGGCAACTAAACACGAGGGTTGCGCTCGTTACGGGACTTAACCCAACACCTTATGGCACGAGCTGACGATAGCCATGCACCACCTGTATCCGCGTTCTCGAAGGCACCCTACTTTGACCCACTTTGACCCAATCTAAACCACTGCTCAAGACCCGGTCTAAACCCAAACCACCCCTAACCCAGTCTAAACCCGCCCAAATCCACCACTAATACTAGATATTGTCATCGTTGATCGTTGTTGGTGGCGTGGAGTGAGTTCATAAAAATACAAAACCCAGTTGAGTGAGTTCATAAAGAGACACAAAACCCGGTGCAAGAGTCGACAAGTCGCACAGAGACTGCAAGTCGAATTATTAAGAAGACAGGTCGCACAGAGATCGAGACCGTTCAACTGAAGTCGGGCCAATGAATACATTCGAGTTTATGTATAGATACTTGCATCATATCTATTATGTATAATGTAACATTGTAGTAACTAAGATACCTCTATAATACCATCAATCACAAATATTAACTTTAAAGGGTCAAACAATATTTGAACTGGGCTTGGAGGGTCGCGCCTGGCCCATGCTGTAGTGCAACACAAGGGCGACGCTCGAAGACCCCAGCAGCAAGCTACTGAGATGGGCCTTCGCCCACAAAAAATTAATTTAATATCATGTGGGCCGATGGCCCACGTATCAGATATTAAACTGATAAGAACAGATACTACACTTGATCTTAGCCAAAAGGCCGAGAAAGGTATGCTTAATATATTGGTTGAGGGCTCCTTTTATAGTGCCATATTGTACACGCTTCAACGACGCTTTCCGATGTGGGACAAACTTTTAAATTATTCTCTTCCAGCACACTTCCAATATGGGCCTAAAAATTTATGCCATTCGGCCCAGTGACTTCAAGATGGGCCTTGTAGGCAATATATCTTCGGCCCATTTTTCTTGTTTTCAGTCTAAATATGAAACCCCTTGTTTGGTTTGTTCGTTTCCTCCTCCTTTGACGCCCCCGACATGGTGCTTCCGGCAGTCCTACGTCGCTCTGTTATCCGACGTTCTTTCCCATCTTCCGCCGCTCCCGGCGGCGAAAGCCTCCATTTCTCAATTTTTTGTGAGCGGAAGTCCACCTACGCCTTGAGTATCGCCACCGAAACAGTATCCGAACAGAAAAATGAGAAGGGAAGCAATAGATGGTTCACGTTGCCTCCATTTACTGCGACTGCAAACGGCTCGGCTTTAGGTAATCGCATAATGAACGGAGGAGCTCAAGCCGAAGCAGAAACTTCCACCACGGCAATCACCGCCCTGAAATGGGTGTTCCGCTGCTGCCCGGAGCTGCCGAGGAGCCTTGTGCAGAAGCTATTTCGACTAAGAAAGGTTTCATCCTCAATTTCACTTAATCCTATGTTAAATTCTTGCAATTGAATGATTAGTCAAGCTAGATCAAATAAGACCACGAAATGTCATTAATGCATGCAATTGAATGTTAATGTGGTAATTAGCATTGTCAGATTTCGTGTTCATTGTTAAATTTTAGCACGTTACTCAGTTTATGAATCTTTTCCTTTTGATATCTTTCAGGTTCGACGAGGGTCTTCTATGATTGAAAATTCTGAATGTAATTTGGAAGCTCGAGACCAACTTAAAAGAGTGAGCAGTTATTTTGTCTACTTCGATTGATATTAATTGCTATGTTTATATTCTGATTTTGTGAACATTTCATTATGTACGCTGCTATGCATTGAAGATGGTTATAATCGTGCTTTCCACATGGAAGAAAACTTCCTTAATTTGTTACTAACATTTTAAAGTTATTGCAAGGTGGCAGCCAATGACATTCTGAACATAGGTGATAAACTTTGTCTCCCCATCTCCGTTCAAGTATTTCCTACAGAGAGAGCTCCGGATTGTTGCAATAAAGAAGAAAAGAAATTCATTCATAGTCTAGTTTTATATAAGGTTTTCACTTTTCACTGTTTTTTCCCTCTATGTTGTTGCCCGATTGTTGCAATTAAGAACTGTTAGTTCCTTCTGCTGCTTGTGACGCTTTTTTATTGTGTCAGGATCCAGCTATACTTGCTATCAATAAACCTCCTGGCTTGCCCGTACAGGTATGCATTCAACTCGTACCATTGATTGATCGTTTTGAGTAGTCATGGTCTTCAAATTTACGAAATTC